TTTGGGTGTAGGTTGTGAAAGAAATCGTTCCAATTCTCATGGATTATAATCTGTTTTCCACCTTTACTTTCTGTTTGCCACTTTTTGTTTGTACGCGTGTGTTTATGCGTTGTTTTAATCTTTCACCGTTTCAAGTTTGCTTTTTATATTTCTTTGCTGTTTGTGGGATGGGTTGTTGGCTCAGTCAGTCAATCATATGTTCCTATTTTGGATGCTTTTAACATATTAGGCGCACTGATTTCTTGCAAGCCTTAATTCATGGACAACTATGGAGAGAACGGGCCATTCATTACGATTGTTTTCATTTTCTACCATATACCAATTTCCCTGTAGTAGTTATCCTAGCTTTTGTGTAGAAAATACCTGTTGCCTGATCTTCTTTTCTTCACATGCTTATATTTTAGATATTTAACCGGACTTGATTGTGTATTTGTGGCCTCATCCATTCTCATCTTTTATCATTTTCGAATCTGGTTTCCATATTGGCCGGTGCTAATCATGGTACTTGATCAAACTTTAAAAGGATCATTGATGATTCTTTTTCAAATGTCCTTGGATAGTGTTGATGTCTCGGCTGTGATACTGACTTGTAGTGATATCTGATCGATGTCTATTTTATTCATTTCTTGGTAAATTCGTTCATTTTGCAGATCTAGTTGACAAATAATGGTGAGGGAGAAGAGAATAGAGACTTTCTACACGAGACTCCGTGCATCAGCTACAGAATCATTGTCTCAGAATCCTCTGCTCATTTTTCCATCAACCTCTGATGTAGACTCTCTATGTGCCCTCAAGATCATAAGCCACATTCTTGAGTCTGATTCAGTCCATTACTCATGTTTTCCAGTGTCATCTTTCCCAGAAATCCACAAATATGCTGGGCCTGGCTTGTCTTCTTCATGTGATAATTATGTTACGATTCTCTTGATTAATTGGGGGTGCCACCGGGACTTGCGAAAGGTTCTCAGCTTAGGCCCTGCAGCACGTGTTTTTGTGGTTGATAGTCACAGACCAATTCATTTGCATAATTTGAGTGACCAAAATAATCAGGTGATTGTTTTGCACACTGATGATGATGAGCAGCAATCTGATTTAACCTGTGATTTTGATACTTTGACTTTGGCTAACGAGAGCTTCCGACAACATCTTGAGAGACTAGAAACAAATTTGGGTAGTGAGCATGGATCTGACAGTGAAAGTGAGGAAGAAGAGGGCAGTAAGAGTGAAAGTGACAGCGATGAAGGGGAAGTGGAAGACAGAAATGGTGATGGGTCAAAGAAGCGAAAAATGGTAGGTGATGGAGAGCAGCTTTTTAAGAGATTGAAGAGGGAGTATTATCGTGTAGGCACTTTTCATGGTAAACCGTCAGGGTGTTTGATGTATGAGTTATCTCACTCTGTGAGGAAAAACATGAATGAATTGCTCTGGTTGGCTTGTGTTTCACTGACTGATCAATTTGTTCATGAGAGGCTAACAGATGAGAGGTACCAGGCTGGAGTTATGGAGCTTGAGCAGCATATTAACAGCTCAGGGAACTTAGATGCAGTTACTTCAGTGACTCTCAAAGATGGGACAAAGATTAGAGCTCCTGACTGCTCCAGAATTGCATATGAAGATGAACCAAGGCTGATGTTGTTAAGAGAGTGGAATTTATTTGATTCAATGGTTTGTTCGTCATATATCGCCCCTAAGTTGAAGACATGGAGTGACAATGGCATGAAGAAGCTTAAACTTCTTCTTGCTCGCATGGGATTTGCACTGGTAGATTGCCAGCAGAAGTTTCAATACATGAACCTTGAAGTAAAACGGAAAATGAAGAATGAGTTTGAAAGGTTTTTACCTGAGTACGGGCTTACTGATTTCTACTACAGGAGTTTTTTGCGGTTACATGGTTATAGCTCAAGGGTCTCAGCTGCAGATGTGGTATATGGTGTTACTGCATTGCTGGAATCATTTGTAGAATCAGATGGTTTCTGTGCATCAAAGCAATTTGGGGAGGCATATGATGCGTTGTCCTTGAATAATCTTGATAAGCTGAAAACTGGAATGCAGCAAGCAATCAAGATACAAAAGGCGATTCTCAGGCAAGGGAGTGCAGCGATTACCAAGAGTGGTTCCATTAGAAGTGGAAGGAAATTCAGGTGGGTAAAGCTTGAAGATACAGCTGATGCCAAGCTACTGGGGTATCCCCAGGCCTTGACTAAATTCTGCTACTTTCTAATGGATGCATTAAAAGAGAAAGGAGCTCGAATGAAGCCGATGCTTTGTGCTTGCTTAGCACAACAACCAGGGAAAGTTTTGATTGTTGGGGTTTGTGGGAAGCCTCGACTTGGGGCAGTCCAAGGGAATGCATTTGGCGTTGCATTCAGAAATGCAGCTGAGGAAACTGGCGGTGAGTTCTTCCATGAACTTTTTGAATCATCATGGATTGTTTTGGATGCAGCTGCTGTTAATTCATTCATGGTTAGATTAACAGATAAGCTATGATGAAATTCACCTGTCTTATAGACATGGTTAACAGTCTGTTAACTTTATGCTCATTTATTTCCCACATCCGTTGATTACCATGAGAGGGTTTTTTATTTGTCTTGCATGTTCGGAGACTTTTCAAACATTTGTAATCACTGATCCAATTATATACAGACGCATCCATGTATTTTCAAAATCAAGAACTGCCCTGGAGATTCAGTGATATTAATATATGTAACATTGGAAGAGGATATAATCAATAATTCCAGTTTCATTTGGCATTTATAGAAAGTGGATTAAAGGTCACATTTGGTTTCTATTTTCTTATGGGAGCTATAGGTGTTATACAATAGATGCCCTTTATTCTTTCTTGTATAATAAAGGGAAATATGTAGTGATGGAGGCTTATATAATTTAATTTGTAATGTTGATTATGTGGGTTATAATATAACGATGTGGGAGTCATTGTGGATTTGCAATGAGATTTGCATGTGCCTGTGATTGTAAATATAACTGTATGTTATTTTATTTCCATCATATTATATTAATACTTAATTATTTAACATAATTTTGTAATAATTTGAAAAAACATATATTTCCCATTGTTATTCATATCGTTAGAATTTTCTAAAACCAGAAACCGAAACATTTCCTTTCTGATGAGCTTTCAGAATGACTTCAAGGTTTTCCATTGGTGGGGAACTTACTGTGTTGCCATAGCTGAAGACCATGAATTGTAAGTATTTGTTCGGTATGGTAAAAAATTTTTAACCAACTTAACTAAAAAATCAATTTGATTTTTTCAATTCATTTTTCAATCGGTTTCTATTAACTCCAGAAATTAATAATCATGGATAACATGGGTAAATAAGCCGATCTCTGCGTGGCAACAGCAAAATACAAACATGGTATTAATCAAATATAAACCAGCATTGATTTAAAAATTTTCCACCTATTAGAGAGATGGTAGGTAAATTACCAAAAGAACAACTTATAATTCTTAACAATGAAGCAATTAGACAACTTCTTCATCCTTACATTACAACCTGCGCAGCAATTCCGATAGCACAGATGATCATAAGAAAAAAATAATAATAAAGGAGCAAACTTGTATCACCAAAAAAAAAAAAAAATCTAATTTACAGTTTTTGCAAGTCAGTTTAAGTTGCTTCCGAGAAACTGCCTACCTGAAATTCAATTTTAGAAGCATTTAGGTGGCTGTATGAATCGACAATGTGCAGTTTATATTGCTCTGCCAGGTTAACTACAGCCACCCAGTTGAATTTTCTTATTCACCTTGAATTACTCTTCACCCAATCACAACTTAACTATGCTGTACGAAGCAAACCATTATGAATTATGTATATATTTGCTGTTGGCCTTGTCAGGGAATCACACTCATTAAGAAATCAATCAAAACATCCATCTTGGAGATGAATGGACAGCGCTTGGTAGTGGTTTGCTTGGCTGCTCTGAGCTGTTTCGTTTCTTCATGATTGAGGAGACTGTTGGGCTGAAGTAGTCATTACTTCTTTGTGAAGTAGCTCCTTGTGAGTACACCTTCTTTCCATAAACGAAGCTCCTCGGATTTTCTAGCACTGTTCTGCGGGGTACTGGGGTCTTCTGAACAGTTTCCCATCTGTTATAACTGACACAACTCTGGCTCCTTCCAACTTGCTGAAACTTTCCCTCTCTGGGACTTGTATAGTTTCGGCTTTCAGCAGTTTCCGCAGAGTACATTGTAGTCTCACCCTCACTACTATATCCGTTATGAAATTCTGAAATTTCTACTGGAGACGAACTAGACATTACCTCACTATGGGCCCCGTTTACAGAACCTGTAGATGCAACCTCTGCCTCTGCACCAGGACTAGCCAGTCCTCTATGATTCACTTGAAATTCCTGTCTTGTTGGGCTCTGTGGAGGAAATGCCTTCACACAGTTCTCACCAGAGTTCAGGTCTTGCTGTTTGGCTGACTGAGATATAACTGCTGCTTTGGAAATCCTTGGAGGGAAGTTAATATCTAAAAGCTGGATCTGGCCACTCTCTTTCTTCCAAAGAGGAAGTGCAGTCAACTTTGGTGATTTGTATATTTCTGGAGTTGGGATTCCCTGCATGTGGGTAGCACGATGATCAGATTTTGGGGTTTCTTCTTCTGTTGTGTTTGCTGCAGCAGAAGAACTTGGTCCAGGTTGATCCCTTGTCTTGGAGATAATATTTGATGAGGATGGTGTTTCATCATTATCAGCTTCTGTCGACTTAAAAACACGACGCATTGTAAAAGAAGCACAAGAATGTTCACTCTTCTGCCCAGCAGACATCAATCTAATAAGTGGTAGCTTGGGTTTTGTAAGCTCATCAAGGCTACCTTCCCAATGCTGATTTAACCAATCACAGATGACAGGAATCGGGATACCAAATTGCATTGGTGTATCTTTCTTCCATGATGATGAGGTTGATGATGAGGTGGAAGAAGATTTAGTGTTTGGAGAGGTGGCTAGTTTCATAGGATCGCAAATCATGAAAGCAAGATTGCCTTGTACATCAAATCCAGCAGACCCAGGGCTCCATGTCATTCCATCAGTTGACAGTTTTATGAGATTGTCAGTTGCTATCACCACCTTTCCATCACCAACTGTTAATTCTTTCTTTTCTCCATAGCCTAAAAGGTACACTACACTCCCCAAATCCAGATTAGGTTTCGAACAGGTCTTCAAGTAATGAGGCTGCTGCCCTTGGGAATTTGAGTCCCCCTCAATGGAATCTAAGCCCACAATTGTAAGATCTAGAACGGAACTAGTAATGAAAAATCTGCAAAAAGAAATAGGAACAAGTGTTGATTTGAAACCTGTTTAAAAGAAACTTTAAAAATGAAACATTTCAAGAAAATTGTAGATTGTTGTTGACAATTCGCAGGAGTAACCATAGTTCTGCAGCTTCTTGTACAAACAAGAAGATGCTTATAATCACTATATGAAATTAAACAGGTCAGTACCAAAAAACAGAGAGTGTCCACAGAGAAAGAGAATAAGAATGCAGTCAACTTAAAGCACCTCGGTAGTCAAGGACCGAGTCAAAATTTTTCCAGAACCAGAGGAATCTCATTATTAAAACCCTACATCAAGTCAAAATCTTTCCAGAAACCAAAGGAATCTCATTATTAAAGCCCTATATCAAGTCAAAATCTTTCCAGAAAAAATTGTCAAAATAATTAATGAAAACAAAACACAACATCCATTTCCTAAACTCTACAAGTCAAAACTGCATTTAAGGAAAAAATAGAACCATGATTCTATGATGAAGATTATAATTTTTGTAGGTAATGCACCTGATCTCATTCTCTTAAAAATGTGCCTCTAGCACATAAGGGTAAATCTCCCATTGGAAAGGCCTTGAATTCGGTTGCATCATCGTTTAATCAACTAAAGAAATAATTCTGATTCATCTTAAAAAAGTTTCAATTTAAGAAACCTTGTCATTAAGGACGAAATGAACTTATGGCCTTTTAGTAGACTTGAATGTTATATTAGTCAACAAAGGACTTGTAAGCCTCTTCTGATGAATAAATGAAAATATTACATTGTCAATTTATGGCAAGGTCATTTTTATATGTGGTTTCAATCACGAAGGGTACATATAAAACAAGTATCCAAAGATTTTCTAGACTTTCTGGCTATTTTTCAAGTTTACAGTTTAATCCATTAGTGGTACGGAGTCAAATGTTAGAAAACTCATTTCTAATCGATCATACACCTGATACAGTAACATCAGAGCCAAAAAGGAGGGAGACGTACAGCACCAGCAACCCTGTAATGGAGACAGTTAACTACAAAATAGGCAGCACAGAACATATGTTTCCATGAAAATGTTCAAACTGTCAAATTTATTGTTAGTAGAGAAGTGACTTTTCCACAAGTTAAAACAAGAATGATGATCCACAACCTCTTTGTCCATAACAGACTACAGACATAGTTAACATGATAATGGCGGATTCAGTTCAAAAAGATTATTCTAAGCAATGTTGCCTCACAGAATGGCACCATCAAAACATGCCTCTCTCCAATGCAAAATTGAAAATAGATATTATAGCTCAAGACAAAAGAGAGAAAGTCCCTAAAATGTATATGCTATATAGGCCTAGCTTAGATTACATTTTATGTGTGTATTACTTTATTATATAAGAATAACGTGCATTATTTTATCATATAAGCATAACTTGTGTTTCATTTTATGGGCACATTATTTTAATTACTCAAACAAAGCAAAACTTTAATCACTAAAAACAAGGCTTGCTAGCAAAGCACAAAAGCAAAGGCAAGGAGAAAAGAAAAAGGGGAAAAGGAAAAGCTATGGAATAAGTTCGGATCCAAACTTTATAAGCAAAATGTAAGTGTCAAGATTCCTATAGTACAAGATCAATGATAAGCATTCCTTCTAACTGTTCTAGAAAAGGGTAGCTATTTTTTTAAAAGTTTACTGCCGCTCTCCCTGATCTACGAAGAAAGGAATATATAAAGATCTATTAATGGGCTAAAGCAATAAATCTAATTTATAACAATAGCAGCATGGTTTAGCAATGTCTATGTGCACAAAGATTTGGAGAGCTTGTTTAACATAACTTCATCCTCTTAAAGCATTTTAAGCAATACCCCGGGTTAGGTGCCTCTCTTGAATAGCTAATCATTTTAGTACCTTCAACACAATTCACAAGTATAATTCAGCCATATCAAGCAACATTAGGATTCACAAGAAACTGCATATTGACTTTTATTTGACTTTTGCACTATCTACAGGGAAAAAGAAGAAAAAATAATAACTCACTTGACATCCACTTTACACCCGCATTTTCCCAGCAACTAATCATAATACAAAACTACAAAATCTTGATTCAAACAACTATTCGTCGTCTTACTAAAACACCAAACAGTAAAATTTCCCCACATCATTTCCCATCAAAAAGAAATGACCCAAGAGAAATAAATAATTGAAAAAGAAGGATCCAATCGAAACCTGTGAGGGACAAGGCTAGCGGCAACGCCATTTTGTAGGCGGATCTCGGAGCTCTCCGCCGCGGCTACGGATGGAAGGTTGACGTGGGTGGTCAAGAGGAGATTCCGATGAATCAAAAAGCCAGTGGCGCCGGAGATTCCATTAGCAGAGCCGGAGATACTGACCATGGCCGGACCCTTGCCGGCAAAAATAGCGGCTTTCATTTTCTCACTTTTACCAACTCCTTTACAAAAACACCACGACTCCGTTAACACTCCCATTATTTGCGTGTTTTCGGTAATGGGGTTTTTTCTTCTTCTGGGTGTAGAATGATGGATCTAGAGCTCGCCGCATTTGAGTTTTAACGGAAATGGGTTAATGCGAAAGTGTTTAACTTGCTTATCATATGGAATGTGTGACATGTTTGGTTGAGCGAGAAACTGAGGGAAAATGAAAAGGAAAGTGAACAGACAGCAGAGAGGAAGGAACGACGGACGAGATGGTCGTGAAATTAGTAAAGCGTATGGGATTTTTCGAGCTGGAATTTCTTCTTTTTTTTTTTTTCCTTCAAGTAGAGAAAGTTACAGAGGTGAGTCAAAGAGAGAGAGAGAGAGAGAGTACAGTTGCAGACTTCATTACTTTAAACTTGTGGGGAAAGTTAGGGTACTTGCAGGTGTTGTTGAAATCTTTATCTGAATGAATCTGGAACGTACACGTGTCCTGATATATAATTGACTTTGAATTTTATTGGGTCATAAGCTGCTAAGATTTCCATAATTGTATTAGGCTTCGCTGTCTTTTGGGTTTGCATGAATTTCCCTAATTGTAATTAAAAGTTGATACTAAGCATAGATTAGATTCACTTAACAGAAAATTAACCCGACGATAATTCAATTGCTTCCTTAAGAGATTGTTGTTTCAAAAGTGCTTAAAGTAGATTATAATTATTATAATCTATTTTAAGCATTCTTTAAATTTGGAATAGTGTAAGAATTAGTTATTATCATAAATTGTTCATAAATTATAAATATGTTATTAATTATGTAATGTCAATGTGATTGTGATAATATGGGTCTTAAGCATATACACGATAAGTTATATTTTTGTAAAAAAATATTATATTTTATTTTATATGTCACTTAATTATATTAAACTTATATCTGTAGTAGTTAAAGTTTTATCACTAATTAAAAAAGATGTTACCATATGAATATGTTAAATGGTGAATCAAAAATTTATATTTGTAGCGTTATGTGATTTGAGAAATATATATTTCAAATAATTTATGATTCATTTTTAATAATATATATTTATAAATAATGATAAAAATTTAACACTTTTGATATTTGATACTTTTTTTGAAATATAGTATGTAGAATGAGTATTATCCTGAAGTCTTTACTCGTTATTTAGTATTTCAAAAAAGATATTTAAACTCTCGTCGCATAATATTTCTGGTTCTAAAATTCACTAATTCAAATATTAAAAATAGTTGTTAAAGTTTAGGAAGGTATTTAGATTATATACTGTGCATTAAAAATTTTTTAATTTATATTATTTTTTCAAAAGAAAAAAATAACTTTTGCATTTTATGCATGCGAAGGTTCAACCATGTTGAGGAAAAACAAGAGAGAAGCGTCCTTTAGCATTTATCCTCTTGGCCAAACACAATATTTAGAGAAAAGAGAAGATTAATTTGTACTTTAAAATTTTCTCGTTGTATTCTCGGTTTAGATGAGTTTTCTTGTCTCAAGCTCAGAAATAAAGAAAGCTAGGAGCTTACATACTAGAATCGGAACGTCAAAGGTCTTAAAGGGTTTTATGCTATACATTTAACTTCTAAATTGTATGATCACATCAATGCATTCATGCTTATGCTTTAATAAAGCTAAAATTGTGATACCATGAAACACATAATTCAATTAAGTATTAATTAATAAAATATTTAAATTTCATTATGTCCACTTTATGACATACATACATTTACACCTCTAAAACATCTAAAAATAATAATAAAAAAGACATACGTGCTCTTATAATAATTATCAACATGAATATTAAATACCTAAATATGATTAATAGGTAATGCAACATAAAATAATATATCTTCAGAATTCACAAGGGAATATGATAATAAAATAAAATAAATAAAGTAAAACAAAAGAAAAATGAATATAATAGTTATAATAGTTTAATCCTAAATGATTTATATCCACTATCTTAATTACTATTATTTGAAAATTAAAACTCTTTATGAAAATGAAGATTATGAAATAACTTTTCTTTTTCTTTTAAAAGAGGGAAACAAACAAATTACATGTTATGGATAACTATATGAGCCAACGTAGCATCACAAACATCTAAATATATGTTAGTATTAAGAGCTTCCCAGGAGACGGGGGACATGAACAACATCCTTGGTAACATGGTGAGCCCAACTAGCAAAGTGATCAACCCACACATTTGCCTCAATAGAAGACATGTGCAATATGAACCTCCCAATGACAAGATAAGACGCCCTAAATCTATAATTCTAAGTCAAAGGCAGACGAGGCAATCCTGTCATGACACTGAAAGATAAACACAAGGGTAAGAGAGTCCACTTTATGTAGCAACCTTTAATCCCTTAATCCAAGCATCTTGAGGTCCTCAATAGCCCCAACCATAATGAGGTCCATGTACAAACTCATTTGTTCCTTTTCTATCAGCTAAGTAGTGGTAGCGAACATGAATTTTAACTTCGTAATACCATTATTGCTAGCTTCTATATAGAGATTTCACCTAATCCACCTATTAAAAGAAAGAGAGAAAAATATGTTAGCATATTTAAAATCAATTAGATTACTTTAAACCTTATGATAAATAGGATAATCCCCAAACACGTGTAAAAGATCTTTGCTGCTTCTCTGGCACTGAGTTCATTAATCATCATGCATGAGATGTCTTCTTTTTTGTACCCCATTAGTCAGAAGGCACTCCAACACGAGCAATCAAAGCGATCATCTAACTGGTTTAAGAACACGAATTGCTAAAATGACATTTTGATAATTGCTAGGTTGGCTATTGATCATATTGTTAATGTAGTCCTAAGTTTCCTTCACGGACACTTTACCGTCACTCGCATGTATCTAGAACATCTTGTTAGGAGTTTTGTCACTCATGGTGATACGAAGATAGAATGTTTCCAAATACACCATAAGAGGGAAGATTATAAAGAAGTCATCTCATTTCCAAGTACCATCGGGGTTGACATAAGACTCAATCTTTCTATCACTATTTTCTAAGTTAATTTGTCCATTAGTAGTAGATATAAGGGGTTGATCACTAGTCCAAATATCCAAGCAAAATTTAATGTGCAACCATTTTTCACTTTCCATCTAATACATGTGTTAATTATGTGAATATACTTGCACAAATCCTTCCATGAAAAAGAGCTACATTGATTAGTGGGTTCAACGTCAAACACATTAATATTAAAAAAGTTATTTTTGGAGAAAATAAAGGGAATAAACCTTTTCTTTTCTTATGATAGTGAGTAAATAGAGTTAGTAAAGATCTGTTTTGAGTTTCTTTCATAAAAGAAACAAGAAAGGAAGGGTCAATAAGTGATAATAAATTAGAAAGTCAAGTAAATAGGGAGAAAATCTTGAAAAGAAACCTTTGTAACTTCTTTGATTATCTCATCTAATGAATGTTTGTGGTTCAATTTATTATCTAATTATGAGAATATTACTTTTCAAAAAATGTACCCTCCATGTTGTACATGACGACATCAAGGCTTCAAATATTTTGCCCGACGAGAATCTGAACTACAAACTTTGCAATTTCAAGCTTGTAAAAATGGAGTTCTCGTCTGCAGTGCAAAAAGGGGCTCTGTGTGGAAAGGTTGAGAGAAAGAAACAAACATGAATATTTTTTATTTTATTTTATTGTGAACCATACTAAATTAGTCCCCACGTAAGCTTTTTTTGCTACATCAATGATATATGATGTAAGTTAGTAGCTATTATAATATACTATCTGTTGATAAATTTTACACTTGACATATAAAATTAATGGTGTTAGATGTTAATTACAAGGAGAGACTAATTCAATTTTTTGTTTAAAATACAAGAATTAAGTTAATGCAAAATAAAATTAGATATTAAATTAAAACAAAAATAAATATTGCATTAACCAAATTTATATGTTAGCCGGTCTTTTTGGAGTAGAGTATTTTTAATTCATTAATAAAGCAAGATTCGGTCACGGTTACAATATTTTATACGCACATATATACATAGCTAAATTCATATAACATTAAGCCACCATATGTAATTAATTTCCAAAACCAATCTAAAAAAGTAAATTATTTTCAGCAATTCATATTAATTAATTATTTTTAAAATTAGTTTTCATGAAAACCAATACATGCATGTTGTTAATTGTTTCTAAAATTAATTTAATAAATAAATATAAATTAATTCAGAAAACTTAGTTTAATACCATGCACGTATACAAGTAAATTAAATTAATTAAAACTGATTAAATACGTGCATGTTAACTAATTATTTCTGAATTAAATTCAATGCCAACATATATCAGTGTTAAATTAATTTAATCATTGTTTTATAGTCTTATGTGCATTTATTTATATATACGTAAGCTCAACGTCAGCATTACTATGTCAAACCACATCATGTTAAAATTAATTATTTTCAACTTAATTTAATATACGTATACATACATAATTAATTTAGTTATCTTTTAATCATAGTGAAGACATTTTATAGCATTAACGTTTATTAAATACATTATTTAAAACAATTAGTTTAAATTTAGATTACCGGTCTAATTTTAAGTTTAAATTATTTTTATGCATAAATATATTTCGAAATAAAATTATAAATTATATTAAATATATTTATATTAATTGACATAAATATATTAAACTAGTCAATTGCTGCATCTAGAGTGAGGTTATTGCATTTGCCCCGACTTTAAACAAGTCAAGATAATTAATACCAATTAAGGCCTGATTAGTGATAATTATTTATTTAATGTGACTCAAAATAATTACTGAAGAAATTAAAATAGCAAACAGTAGTCAAGTCTTTTTTTAAAAAAGAAGAAATAATTAGGGAATGATGCATTCACACCGATTCCGCGTTGCCGCCACTCTCAAGGATGGCACACAGCTAAGCAGTTGAGGTTGACCAAACTAAATCAAAACCGTTGAACCCAACATGGGTAAATCCAACGGTGCAGATCAAAGAACAGCAACTGCAATAAGACAGCGCGATCGGAGCATTAACGTGAGGTTGGCATCATAGTAGACTTTCTCCTAAAAGGCTAAGCCCACAAAAACAAACCAGTGAGAGAGAGCGGAGGAGATAACAGTGAGATTACAGTCAGTTAGAGCCATCGACACACATCTTCTTCTCTTCACTTTCTCTGTTCATTTATTTGATTTCATTATATATATAAATATATATAGATATATCTCCTTCTTTACCATTTTCATGTCTTCTTGATTCGAAGATTTCCACCGCAACTTGTAATGGCTTATCATCATCGAACTTCACGCGCCGGCGGAGTGTCGGCAGCCGGGAGGTTCGGTTTTGGCATCAGACTCCTTGCCTCCTCCATCACAGTCGCATTGTTTATCTTCTTCGCAGTCTCATTCGTCTTCACTTCAGATTCTCACTCCTCTGATCTCCGTGACCTTGTAAGTTTCTCTCTCTGGATCTCATTTTCTTAAAAACCAGAAAATTAAATGATATAAGGACTCGCTTTATGTGTTTGATTTGAGTAGGCGTCCGGTTCAGGTCCGTATGGATTCGGATCCGCCAGGAGGTCCATTCTGGCTTTCAAATCGGATCCACTGAAGCCCCGACTGGACCAGATCAGGAAGCAAGCGGACGATCACCGAGCATTGGCGATGGCTTACGCGTCCTATGCGCGCAAGCTTAAGCTGGAGAGTGCCAAGCTTGTTCGGATATTCGCCGATCTATCGCGAAACTATACGGATCTCATCAACAAGCCCTCTTATCACGCTCTCTTCGATTCCGATGCTTCCTCTATTGATGAATCGGTGCTACGGCCGTTTGAAAAGGAGGTGAAGGAGCGAATCAAAGTGACAAGACAAGTAATCGCGGAAGCGAAAGAATCTTTTGATAATCAGCTCAAAATCCAGAAACTCAAGGATATCATTTTCGCTGTTAATGAACAGCTGACGAAAGCCAAGAAGCAAGGGGCATTCTCGAGCTTGATCGCCGCTAAATCGATACCCAAGAGCCTTCATTGCCTGTCAATGAGGCTGATGGAAGAGAGAATCGCGCACCCCGAGAAGTACTCGACCGAGGGGAAGCCGTCACCTCCCGTTTTCGAGGATCCTAGCCTTTATCACTACGCCATATTCTCGGACAACGTGATCGCGGCGTCTGTGGTTGTGAATTCGGCAGTGAAGAACGCTATCGAGCCATGGAAACACGTGTTCCATGTTGTGACCGACAAGATGAATCTCGGGGCAATGCAGGTTATGTTCAAATTGAAGGACTATAATGGAGCGCACATAGAGGTGAAAGCTGTTGAAGATTACAAGTTCTTGAACTCTTCATATGTGCCCGTGTTGAAGCAACTGGAGTCAGCAAATCTGCAGAGGTTTTACTTTGAGAACAAGCTCGAGAACGCGACCAAGGATACTACCAACATGAAGTTTAGGAACCCTAAGTATCTGTCAATCTTAAATCATTTGAGGTTTTACTTGCCGGAGATGTACCCCAAACTGCACAGAATCTTGTTCTTGGATGATGATATTGTAGTGCAGAAGGACTTGACTGGATTGTGGAAGATTGACATGGACGGGAAGGTGAATGGGGCGGTGGAAACTTGTTTTGGGTCGTTCCATCGATATGCCCAATACATGAATTTCTCGCATCCATTAATTAAGGAGAGGTTTAACCCCAAAGCGTGCGCGTGGGCTTATGGAATGAACTTTTTCGACCTGGATGCTTGGAGGCGGGAGAAGTGCACAGAACAGTATCACTACTGGCAGAATCTGGTAAGCTTTTCATTGATTTGTTGGCAAAATCTGGATTTGCGTTGCTATTTTTATTCCTATTCTACTTCTGCTTGATGCTTAAGTTTTGTTGATTCAGATTCAGTTGCTTAATTGCAATGCACTAACCGATCCGAGTGATTGAACAGTTTGATTGATTGACATATGTTTCTTGCAAATAGAAATTGTATGAAGTGGATTTCCTGCTATAAACCCTGCATTTCGGATAGCTATTGGTCGAATTTAACCGACTCCATTAATGTCCTTAAAAAATTTTAATTCACGTAGGACTTGGAATTCCACTCAAGGAATTAAAGAGAAGCTTACATTTCACACTCATGAAACTAGAATTAGGAATTACTAAAGAAGGCAAGGAGAAGTTAGCCAAAGGGCACAAGGAGAGGGAGAATATGCCGTTCTTTCTTGAACAAAATGGTCGTCTGTTTTTTTATAGGAATCACTATAAGAGTATGACATAGGTGCTACAGTTTTTGTAATTGGGTTTAATGCACTTTTACTTGCATTGTTAGTGAACTTATTCAAAAAGCCTGCCATACCAAGATAGTGATTTAACAATGAATGTTTTTGTTGCAGAATGAAAACAGGACCTTGTGGAAATTGGGGACTCTGCCTCCAGGCTTGATCACCTTTTACTCAACGACGAAACCTCTAGACAAGTCATGGCATGTTCTTGGGCTTGGTTATAATCCGAGCATCAGCATGGAGGAGATTCNNNTGCATTTCAATGGAAACATGAAGCCGTGGCTTGATATTGCAATGAACCAGTTTCGATCACTTTGGACGAAATATGTTGATTATGATTTGGAGTATGTCCAGGCTTGTAATTTCGGTCTCTAAATAAACGAAACTTAGTAGTGTGTGGATCCGTCCATGGTAGCAGTCCCAAACACAATCAACACGAATTCATCCCATTTTCTTACACTCAAAGCAGAAGCAGCTTTTGTTACTTGGCATGGAAGAAAATTTAGATATAGAAAAGTTGGCAATTATAATTTTGGAATTAGATTTTCTTTTTTATTTGTTGATAAGAGTTAAATCAATGTTGCAGGAAATAAGCTATGAAGAAATAGTGTTGGAATTTCCAGTTGTAGATGGGTGTTCTTAATTGTTCATAGACTATTAAGAATGTTATGAAATTCTAGGATTCTTATGTTCTCTTCTAAAGAAAGGATGGGACCTTTTCCTCTTTAATTCTCAACCTCTTGGGACTTCTAGTTTTCTTATCGGGTATAAAACTAAGAGCATATGTAATATATATATATATATATTACTGTCAGTTTTCAATAAAAACAATTGATAAAGCTATTCTTCCTGTAATTTCCTTTAAGCTTTAAAATGGAATGTTTTTTTTCAAACATTGCATGCACAACTATTGGATTCTAATCCAAATTTTAAGAATCTTTTATTGAAACTCTTGGATGAGTGATCCTATAATTTCCACTTGTATTAGCAAATGCGGTTTTATAATTTATTTATAAATATTCTATAAAAAGTTTAGATCATATCAAGAGTAAAAAAATAATAATAAAAAAATA